TGTGAACCTATGACTTGTACATTTCCTTCTTGTTGCCTTCGTGCGCGTTTATACCAATCCAAAACTTTTCCAATTTCATCCAGTGGTGGTATCTCGACGCCTTGTTGTTGTTGGGGTGTAGGTTGAGACTCAACTTCTTCATCATGATTTTGAGGTTCGTTAACCGCTCCAGCGTGGTCATTATCGTTGATATGTCCCCCTTGCCGACCACCACGGCCTCTAGATGGTATGGTCATTCTTCTGATGGGAGGTCTACCTCTTCCTCTGTTGGTAAGTCCCCCTCTTGGCGGTGCATTATTTCTGCCCTGGGGTGTTAAACCTTCGGGGTTACTTCTGGTCGCTCTACCCCTACCTCTTATCATTTTAGCTGTCGAAGAAAACGAATGAGTTGTTAGGTTGGTATCAATTGCCAATTGGCGGATACGTACTTAGGTATTTGTTGGCTTCAATTACTGTCATACTGATTGTTAAGGGATCCTTCTTAACAGCCAGAGACCATGTAATTTTCATCAACAACTCCTTTGTACAAAATAAATTTTATGCTCATGGTTTTAAAACATTTTGATAGGGATTTTGGTAATTTCAAATGAATGGTTATTCATCGAAGGATCTTCGAATATTGAAGTTTCAGTACAAGAAGAAATTCCCAGGTAGTTGGAGGAGTCACAATGGTCTCACTTAAGACCCAACTACCTTAGACTCTTATCGTCTTGGTGACAGAATTTCCTCTTACGACCTATGACTTCTTATTCAAATTTCCAGTAAGAACTTTAGGCTCTGATACCACTTAATTGTCACGCCCCGGACCGACCCGATGACGTGGCAACCGCCGCACAACCCTTCGTGAATATCCGCAGACTATTCTCGTTAGGTAATGCAAGGCTATTGTGTATATCAATCACACTAAGAATATTCATAGAAGGTAAATTATTAAGTAGCCAATTAACTAGTATAAAATACTAGATTGCAGCGGAAACATAATTTAAAATGTTCATTTGCCACAGGAGGCATACATGGGTACACAGACCCTAAATAGAAATTTAAATAATCCATGAGCATTTATTAACTTTAAATCTAGTAAATAGAACATGAGAACAGCACGAACCAAGTCTGCTCTAGGGAATCTCCCAAATGGATAAAACTGATCTCGTGAACAAACTTCAACCTGAAAAAAAAATGTCGCCCCGAAGGGTCAGTCCAATTGGTACTGGTGAGGGACGGGCGCTATGCCTATGCAAGGTATAACGATCGTTTCATACCTAAGACCCTCAAATAGGGTGATATATATAATATGTAAAATCTTTACTAAATGTTACATATATATAATAATTAAAGTAATCAGCTCCAGGCTGAGATTTTTCTTATAAGGAAATTTATTTTAATGGCACTCGGGCCCATATAATATTCCTTTATAAATGGCCATTGGCCCGCATCAATTTTATTCATGAATGGCATCGGGCCCGCGTTTGATTATACCATTGGGTGTCTCTCATCCCATTTTCGTACAGGCCGTCGCTCCGAGTACGCTTACTTCCGAGATACAGCTGGACTCGTTCACAACCTGTTTCCTACGGCCCGTCCGTCCGAACTTCTTCCTTCCGAGATACAGATAGTTCGTTCACGGTCCGTTACGATAAAAGTACAATATTACGTAGTCGTGGTGATTTTCGATACACCAAAGTGTACTTAACAAATAATGTGTTCGGAATAGGATTATCTTCTCAGCAACACTACGGGTATGGTGTCTGTACCATGACCCGTCATATACCAGTAAATTCACAATAAGCCTATTTTAATATATGTGTAACTAGTTCTATCCTAGTTTTAAAGTCCTTCCTAAAATAAGGCAAATACTAATTTAGTTTAAACATACCAATTTAAACATAATTAATATTACTAGCAAGCAGAACATGGTTTAGAGCACGCTAATAATTTTTAGACATCACGACACTTTTATATATCATCTTAAATTACCACAAAATTGCTTAACATTTAGGTAGTCTCACATATAACCCAAAAGTTATAAAATGTATAGATATAGAACCGATCACTCACCTTAATCCCGCAGGAGAGATTTAGCTAGAATATATATTCTCACGAAAAAAATAAACCCAGTTGATGAATTAAGTCCTCTGGTGCGCTTTCTTCAATTCGGTCAGCCTAGGTAATTTAAGTGTTCGTCCATCAAGAGTCCCAACTCCAGCTAGTAACTGTTTCCATTTCCCAGGAAACTAATACATATAGATAGTATGTAAAAGTTATAATATTACGTGCATTCAGGTAGAGAAGTTGCTTTTTGAGACTTAGGTGCCGCCGTGTTGATTTCAATCTGCCGGAGTGGTACACAAATCTTTCCCCAACCTGACAACCCCGTTGTTTGACGGGTCGTTGGCGGACGGCTGGTGGAGCTAGCGGCGGTCAGTCCGGAAAGGACTGTTTGGGCGCTGAGGAAATATTAACCACTCTCGGCGGCAAGGTGTTCAGTGTTCCTAACACCCCGGTGAAGTAGGCCGGTAGTTCTCTCTTCCTCTTGTTACTTTCTTCTTTCTTGGTATAATATTATGGCCGGACAGATTTGAAGACTTAACTGCTGTTGGTATGAGGTGGTGGAAGGTTGTTGTCTTCCGCCTAGGATCCTCTCCCGCCGGTATTGTAAACGGTGGCTGCCGGTAAGAAGTGTCGGCGACAGGTCTGACTGCCTGGCAGTCCAAACCGAGGGCTTTGTAAATGAAATTATGGGTCTTCTTCTTATGATAGTAAGGGCTGAAGCTAGCTTAACATGCTCCTATTTTCTCTACTTAGTTTAGGAAGTAAAATAGGTGTGTGAGTATGGAGTAAATACGTGTGTGTATATGCTATAGTGTATCTCTCCCATTTCTTGTTACGAGTATATATATACACACGCACATATGGTAATGGAGCTGCTCCAATTATTTCCCTTACAGCTCATAGTTGTCCACACAATGAATTGGGAAGGTTGCTCGTCACTTCTTGGTATTTGAGGACATGGCTCTTCACATGGGTTTGCTCACACAAGTACAAAAAGAAATTAAGTTTGCATGTTTCTTCCACGTTAAGTTGTTCCTTACAAGGACAATATTTAAATTAAGATGGGAGTCATGTTATAATGTTACGGAGTATTAACTTGGGCGGTCAGCCGTTTTAATTTAGACCTCAAATATTATTATATTTGGGGTTCATCTATTGATATATAATAAAAATATTAAGATTTTAAATTATTTCCATTATACTAAAATTCTTAAATTTTTATTCCGTAATCATTTGTTTATTAATTCAAACACTGAGTGAGCGGTGTTACAGAAGGTCTAGGTAGTATACGAAAAGTATTGAGTATACTCCATATTATTTATCATGGAAATCTTAATCGGGAATCAAATTTGTAACATAAAAACGACTCTCCATAAGGTCTAGAGCCGCTGTCTAGGTTGGCCTAGGGCTTGTTCGGTGACTGTTTCGGCCACGGCACCGGGGGGTTCGAAGTTTGGATTTTGCTTTCGGATTGTTTGGATTTTGCTTTCGGCTTGTTTGGATTTTGCTTTCGGATTGTTTGGACTTTTTGTGAGATCGGAATTCAGCGATGTCGGCTCGGATTGCAGCAACAAGGGATTCAGCGAGTCCATTGGTTCGCCTCGGTTCTGCAACAGCAAGGGATTTGCTGCTTTATCAACGAGTCCGCTTGGAGGTTTCTTGTTCGGCGGTAATCCTTGTTCTTGGAAGGAGGAAGATGAGTGCAGGTACATGGAATTGCAGAGGACTTGGTAGTCTGGCTCCAATTCAATGCTTGACGGATCAACACAAAAGTTTGACTATGGAGGCGGCTAAGCGGCGGGCACGCCCCCCTCCTGAACCGCTGCCATGAAGTGCAAGCAAGTCTAGGGTGATCGTGTGGTTTGGCAAGCTCGGACAGAGGATCTACTTTTTCTGTTTTATTTTCTCCTTTAGTGATTATTTATTTTCTTGTGGGCTTTCTTTTGGTTTTGATATTCTTGTTTGTAAGATGTTGACTTTGAATGTGGGGATGAGAGGAATACGATAAATGTTTTTGGCTTTAGGTTTCCCATTTATAGATCAACGAATTATATTGCTTCTCAAGAGGTGATTAATTCTAAGTCTGGTTCGCAGGATAACGGTTGTCAGTTTTCTTATTATCGATTGACTCATACTCTAAATTATCTGTTATCGATATAAGCAGAATTCTTCCCAAAAAAGGAACATAAAAACGTGAGAAGTATTAAATTTGTAAAATATTAAATATGATGTACAAGTATGATTTATAGCCTAAGTGTAAGAGGGTGTTTGGAGGAGTCAAAATGGGCTGATCAGACTGTAAATCCATAAAAAATAGCCAAACACTACCTCATTTGACTACTTTGGCTGTTTTCTATTATCAGCCAATAAAGTAACTTGGGAGTTACTTTTTGAGCTTATTTTTATTTTTGTACTGTTAGATGTTAAAGAGACAACTCTCTCCTTATCTACTGTGTCCAGAATTTTTTCCTCTGCTCCATATTCGATCTTGATGACAAGCTCTCTTCATCTCTTCTTCATTTTTGTTATTTTTTTTTATCTCTATCCTGCAACTAGTTCGGTAAGCAGAGCATATGCCTTGTATTAGGATTTGGTTTGTATCTTTGATTTTAAAAATAAAATTGGTAACGATTGTTAAGCCCTTAATTACCCCACCAGTTTGGTTGTGACTTTCTGGGTTATGAATAGATTATTATTTTTATTTATTCCCTACCCAAGTGTTCTTTCTGTTCTTTGTGGACTACACCAGAGTGAGTTTGCGATTATGGTTTTTCTTCTTGCTCTTCCTTGCATTCGATATGTGTTGTTGGTGATGTGCAATATTTTAGTACACAAAAATAATACCCTTTATAGTAATTACACATTCAATCAGTCAATTCAGCCAATATATTACCAAACACTTTCACTTCAGAATTTCAGTCTTTTCAGCCTTTTCAGCCATTGAAGCCATTACCAAACAGGCCCTAAGTTTTTAGTTACAGTTCAGGGATTTCCCCCCCTCTTCCCGCCTCAATTCCTCCAAGTTCTATAGCGACCTGGCATCATCTTCCCTGATCTAAACGACGCCGTTGGGTTAACTGTCAAACCCTCAAAGGCCCTGGGTGTGAAACCTGAAACGACGTGAGTGATTTGGGCACTTGGGGGTCAGCCGATTGGATGAGGATTGAGGAAAGGCAAAGACGCTTTGCCTGAAGCATCTGCTCATCTGCTGATCTGCAGTCTACAGGTTTATTATCTATTTGTTCCACTTAGCTATCATTTTATTGTTTTAGTTATTCAATTTTGGATTATTTGGATTTTGGGGTGTGAATTGCGATTAATATATTCTAATTTTCAAAGCTATAAAAGTTGGGCACTTGCACTTCAGCCTGCAGGCTCTGCTGCTTTGAGAATTGTTGAATTGAGACAATGTGCAGACAATATAGTAATGCTTTGTTTTTTGAATTATTTAGTTTAGCCAGTGATTAATTTACTGTTTTAGGCTGAAACTTTTGTACTCTTAATTGTTTACTTTTCAAGTTTTAAAGTATCAGACTTTAATAATCTTTAACTAGTTTAGGTATATATATTAATTGAACACATTACTTGTGTAAATAACTTAATTAAATAGTCTGCACGTAGTAAAAAATAATAATTAACAGTGCATCACACAATACTATCCCCCGCTTCTTTTTAGTTGCAACATAGAAATTATTTATTAATGTATGATTTTTTTTTCTGAAAAATATTGTTGAATTTTTCTCATTACAAAATTTCACAATCTTATTTTTAATTTTTTTTACCAATAGAGAATTTATTTAGTATAAAGACGGTCAAAGTTGTGCGTTGGCAAGCGTGAAAATAGGAATGTTGCAACTGAAAAAGAATGAAGGAAGTATTATTATAATTTTTATAATTTTATTATTTGCTAGGTTACCTACTCTCTCAACTTGTTTATTCTTCTAACAATTAATAGTAGTCACATTTTCACATAGTTTATATTTCTCATACTACGTTACAATTTCAGTAATTTGACTTTTGATGTAAATCTTAGCCCCCTCTCAAATATTGTTTTAGTTCTGCACCTGCCTCTACTATGGTTGGGCTGATTAGCAGATAGCTCTAACTTGACCTACATTTACACTTTACGCTTGAGCCAAAACTTTAATTCCTAAAATGATTAATTAATTAATTATCTACTATGGCTGGGCTGATTAGCAGATAGCTCTAACTTGACCTTCTACATTTACACTTTACACTTGAGCCAAAACTTTAATTCCTAAAATGATTAATTAATTAATTACCATACGTAGAAGGCACGGTTTTTTCCATGATTAATAAGCGCCTTTCTTGACCTGCCCACCTGCCATGCTCAATGCACCATTCTTCCACTATCATTTCAGGTATTTCATTATCAAAAAAGAACCAAAAAAGTTCAGTCTTTACGGCTTCAACTCCCACTTATCAAATATTTTCGAACCAAAATTAATCCTTGGTTAAACTATAATCCATTTATGCTTTTTAGTTGTTAACTTGTTATTATCATGATTGGTTAAATACATGATAAAATATTTTAAATCTGAAACACTACTCTACATATCTTAAGTCTTAACTTCACGTTTCGGACAAGCATTTGCTTTTCTATGTTTTGTGTCTTAACATCAAGATGTGAGTTTTTTTTATTATCAATACAATGTACTATCTATATATGTGATTGTTAGTTTTATATAAGTGTTTATTACATCAAGATGTGAGTTTTTTTATAAGTGTTTATATAAGTGTTTATTACATCAAGATGTGAGTTTTTTTTTATTAATACAATGTATTATCTATTGTTTTTTTCATCAAGAAATCTCAAAATTTTATCACTATTTTTTATTGCTTATGCAAAAGAGTTTTTTTAAGCTGAGGCGCTGGATTGCTGTTGTGAAAAAGGGAACATTTTAGTTCAATTTATACAGTGAGCACTAGCTGTTCTGACCCTTCCATTGTTTGAATAGGGATAACTTACAAAGAGCTTGAGTTTTGTTATTGGGAACCACTTCAAAGCTAAAAATATTGCTATGGCAAAGCATACTGAATTATCATATATAGATAGCCGAGGAAAAAATATTGACACTTGACTGATGTTATATGCAGTCTTGGCGCTAATGTTTTTTCTAATTATAATTGTTAGTTGTTGTTGTTGTATATTTGTGGTAGATTATAAAACTCACATCCTTTTTGTTCCTTGTTTTGAGTGAAAATACTCAAAATAGTATATGGATCGGTTCTTTAGGCTAAAGAGAAATTACCAGTTTAAAGTAAAAAAAGTGAAAGATGACTAGAAGTGGAATCCCGTTTTATCAATTAAAGTATTAAACCCATTTATTCCTGATAGAATTAAGCTACACGTTTAGGTTCAATTGGACAATTAAATCGAGGAATGTTCAGGTCCGAACAGTCCCCATCCGAGCACCGTCCGAACATGGACGTTTGGGCCACTTTCCGGTGGAATTTTTTGATGAAATTTTTTGAGCATGTTCCTCATCAACTCTATTTTGTCCATACCGAATTTCAGCTCAAAATTCGATCGGGAAGGCATTCAAATCATTTTTTGAAGTTGACTGCGTCAACATATACATATAAAAACGCAGTCAACTTCAAAAAATGATTTGAATGCCTTCCCGATCGAATTTTGAGCTGAAATTTGGTATGGACAAACTAGACTTGATGAAGAACATGCTCAAAAAATTTCATCAAAAAATTCCACCGGGAAGGGCCCCAAACGAGGATGTTCGGATGGAGGCTTCTGTCCGAACGTTCGGACCTGATCATTCTTGCAATTAAATCACATGTTAAATTAGTTTGCAGATTATGTGGTGGGTAAATGCATCAGTATATGTAATACTACCTCCGTCCCAAAATACTTAGCCAAATCTTAAAATTTGAACCATGGTTTTGATTAGTATAATATTATGAAAGTTATAAATTTTATACTTTTATGAAAGTACTCTTTACAAAGAACATTTTCATATCATTTTTATATTATAAATAATTTCCAATAAAAATACGATAGTATATAGTTGATCAAAGTTTTGAATTTGGCTAAGTATTTTGGGACAGAGGTAGTACTATAGTAGTAACTTCACTTTTCAATCAGTTTGGAGATCCAGAGTGCCAAAAACTTCATAACTGAAATCCACCTATTCATTTTCATGCTTGCCCCAGTTGCAGATGTCTTCCTTGTCTCAGATTATTCGTGCATGTACAAAGAAGAATTATATTCTAAGTGGCAAAGCAGCCCATGCCAGGCTCATCATTTATGGGTCAAAACCTGATGTCCATACAAACAATCACCTTCTCTCGATGTATTTAACATTCCATGAAATTGAAATCGCCCATAAGCTACTCGACCAAATGCCTGAACGAAGCATAGTGACCTGGACAACATTTATTTCTGTATATTCTCATATTGGTATGCCTGAAAAAGCTTTAGGGTGCTTCCGGAAAATGGTTCTTGAAGATGAGTTTGCTCCAAACCATTATACTTACGTGGGTGTGTTATCTGCTTGCAGTAGCTTGGGGGCTGCGAGAACTGGAAAAGAAATACATGCGAGGATATTCAGAACTGATGAGTTGTTTAATAGCTTTGTAAGCAACTGTTTGGTTAACTTTTATGGGAAATGTGGGCTCTTGAAGTCTGCTTGGTTTGTGTTTGATGCTATTTTGGAGCCAAATACAGTAACTTGGGCCTCACTTCTTTCATGTTATTGCCAATGTGGCTCCTATGAAGAGGGACTGAGGATTTTCTTGAAGGCATTGAGGGAAGGAGTGCTGGTTAATGAATTCATATGTGGGAGTGCTCTGGTTGCTTGTACCGCAATGGAGTGTCTGTGGCTTGGAATGGAAATTCATTGCCTGATCGTGAAATGTGGTGTCAAAATGGATCAGTATATCATCACCGGGTTGGTCAATTTTTATGTAAAGTGTGGCCAACTAGGCTCGGCACGTAAGGCTTTTAATACAGAAGGTGCTCCTGATTTGCATGCTTGGACTGCCTTGATCGGAGGTTTTGTGCATCTAGGGAAGAATAGGGAGGCTGTTGATCTTTTTTGCAGTTTGCTTTCTTCAGGCATGAAGCCAAGTGAAAGAACATACTCATCAGTCCTTGGGACTTTTGCCGTTACAGAGGAATCTCAAGCTGGAAAACAACTTCACTCTTCCATCATAAAATATGGTTTTAATTCGTTCACCTTTGTTTGCAATGCCTTGGTCGACTTTTACTCTAAGAACAATCTGATCGATGATTCATTGAAGATTTTTCAAGAAATGACTGAATATGACATTGTTACTTGGAACACATTTTTAGCCGGATATATACGCTCCGGTCATTATGACCAAGCTATAAAGATCCTCCAAGAGATGTTGCTTGAGGTGGGGCTCAAACCTAATCTGCATACGTACTCTTCCATATTGAGCTTATGTGGGGAGTTACCAGCCGTAGAATGGGGCAAGCAAGTTCATTGCCGCAGTTTGAAGCCCTGTTTTGATTCCAATGTGGTTGTAGGAAGCGCCCTGATTGACATGTATGCTAAATGTGGACGGTTGGACGATGCGCGGAAAGTTTTTGATATATTGCCTTGTAAAAACTTGGTATCTTGGAACACTATGCTCGTCGGTTATGCGCATCATGGATTTGGGTTAGAAGCTTTGGAGGTTTATAGTTTGATGCAAGAAAACGGGGTTAATCCTAATGATATTACATTCATTGGAGTATTATCTGCTTGTGGACATGGAGGGCTTTTAGAAGAGGGATTAGACCACTTCAATAGCATGAGAACTAAGTATGGAATCACTCCAAGGACAGAGCACTTAGCTTGTATGGTCAATTTATTTGCACGGAAAGGACATATGAGGAGAGCGTATGACTTCATTATGGATTTTTCTGGGAAACCAGATAAGGTGGTTTGGCGTTGTCTTTTGTCAGGATGCTTCACAAATAACGACTATATTCTGGGGAGCTCCGCTGCGAAGGAGATTTTAAAAATTGATCCAAATGATGCATCGGCCCATATTATGTTGTCTAATATTTATGCGAGGTTGAACATGTGGGATGAAGCAGCAGAGATGAGAAAAATTATGAAAAAGAAAGAACTAAAGAAGGAAACTGGGTATAGTTGGATGGAATTTGAGAACAAGATGTATTCTTTTTCTTCAAGGCAGAATTTGGATGGAGGGGTTACAATGGATCCATTGGGTAGGTTAGAAGACTATGAACTGTAATTGAATATGGCTTCTTGTACATCACGAGAGTACAGAGGCAGAGATAGGGTAGGCGAGGTGTTGCATCTCCATGGGCGGATGGCAGACCGGCGTTCCTTCAGCTCTGGAGGTGGGCTGCAACTTGAGTCCAGCTCTGGTGCAGCAGCAAACGGTAATGTTTCTCATGAAAGATCCAGATCGCAGTTACAGAGCCTTAGAATTGAAAGTAAATTATTTGCTTTAACCTGGTCACTTCTGGGCTCTAAATCACCCAAATCAAAGAGAAATATAGTTGTTTCTATATCACTGGATGAGGCTGGGATTAATTGGTTATGTGACTCTTTTTGTCAAATTCTAACTGGAAAATCATGGACAGTTACTAAGTATGAGCGTTCTCGGAAATTACTTTTATCTTTTGAAGATAATCGATTTGGGGGTTTCATTCGTTTAGATGCTATATCACATTGGGGTAGTACTACAATCATAATTCCCAAAGGTAGGAAAGGAAACAGTTTAAGCCTTTTTTGCTCTTCTTTACAAAGCAACCGAGATTTTTTTGAAAAAGGCGAATAAGGTGCCATTGACATCTTGTTTGAAGGATTTTGGGATTTTTTGTTCTAGTTCATCGCGTGAAGATTTTGTTTCTGAGAGCTTTGTATCTGTCTCATCTATGATTTTCCATGAAGACTTGCTTAATATGGGTTATCTCTCTCCTCTTGACGATGAGAAAGATAATAGGGAAATTGTTTCGCTTAATCAGGATGTTCGAGTGGGAACAATAATAATCAAAGAGGAGAAAGATGATTTTTTAAGGTAAACCAATGATGATTATCTTATTGGGGCTGTCAATGTGGAAATTCCTCTTCAGGCTGTTTTTCCTTCTCAGCACCAAGATAATGTCATACTCGAGGGTGAGTCTCAATTCAAATGTGGTGACGCTTCAGATTCTTAGGTCTGATAAACTATATGGATTGGTTATCAGGCTGATCCAAATTATCAGAAAATTATATGGATTGGTTATCAGGCTGATCCACCAGTGACAATGCCCCTCCGCGATAGTTATGTGTTTTTAAAATGTGAATGATGTGCAGAGCTGAATGTTCTGATGGATCTTTGCAAAGAGATGACAGCAGAAAGGGCAACAGCACCAATTAAATCTAAGAACGGAACTGAAGGCTTGATGCCCAGCGGCGTTGCAAACCAGAATATGAGAATTGCAGAAAAAGCCCTCATCCACCCATCAGAGTGCAGGCCCTGCCATATCTGATAGCTTAGTGTGTTTAGAATGTTAATGATGCGCAAAGCTGAATGTGTTGATGAATGTTGCAAAGAGATGGCAGCAGAAAGAACAACTCCAACTAAATCTAGGAACACATGAGGTGAAGGTTTGAAGCTTATTGGCATTACAAACTAGAATATGAAAACTGCAGAGAAGCCTTGTGAAGATAAGGATCTCCTCCTCAGGAAGCCTCTCCTGATTCCTGAAAACATAGCACTGTTGATGCCATTGCCAATGACGTATGTAGTTAGTTGGGGCGGTCTGCGTTTCGCTGGAATTTTATAGTCTATCCTGGAGATGCAATGGTGTACTATGGCAAAACAAAAGTGTCGTTCCAGTCTGCAAATCCTTAGGATGTAATCATGTAAGAGTCAATCATGCTGTTGTTAATCTTTACACGAGTGGATCCCGATTTGTGCCATCAAAGTCTATTTTTTGTTTGCTTTATTAGCCTTTTTTATGTTTTCTTCCACCACGTAAGATTGATGATACTAGGGATTTCTAGAATGAGAAGATTGGTGATATTTATTTTTTGTTTGGTTTTGTGTCCACTCGTTAAAAGTGAACATACTTTCTAAAATGTCATCTGTTTTTATCACATCTTAAAGTTATTAATTCATCAACGCATATCCAAACACAAGTCTGGACTCTTGGACAATTGAACGCATCACATAAGTGTGTAATCTAACAATATAGGCATATTTAATTAAGTAGACTCATTAATGACAACATTGTTGTCAATTTAACTTTTTTTATTCTTTTCAAATGCTTGTAATTTGTATTTCAATTTCTACGTCGAAATAGCAGTATGTTGTACATTGGCATTTGTGAAGGGATCCCATGATAATTGAAAAGGATCAAAGGGGCTGGCAATCCTTCTCAGAGCGGATCCCAGTGTGTATCAACCTCTAGATAAACACTTTTATTGTACAAAGTATGTGCATGAATTCTATAACACTCCATACGTAAAAAACAATTGTCTAACTAGGAGCAAAATCAATGCAAAGTTTGAAAATATGTTTTCTTAAATAAGAATAATTATTGTCACTTTGGAAAATAAATCATAATGGCAAATCACAACGATTACAAAAGTTTCCTTCTAGTTGGGGGAAATATAGTAATCGAATTACTCCTAATTTATATTTCTAATTTTAAGTTTCCGAAAGGGGTATTGAACTATTGATATTCAAATATGGACTTATGGAGTACATAATACAGATCTTGGTGACCATAATATTTTGTCAAACCTTATTTCTTATTTTTTACAATTTGATTACTATAACTGTTCAATGTTTACTCAGTTGTATTAAATATTGTTTTCAATGGTTTGATTAAAATATGTTGAAGGTAGGCATCCTAAACTCACATTTTCATTTTTAAATCCTATCAAATGATTAATACTCAGTTTACTATTAAAAATAAAATTATTTTCTGTAAAATTTTATTTTTGACACATTCTAACGGTCAACATTAGTACTTAATTTTAATTAATGGTGGTTATATAGTAGATAATATGATATTATATACATGTATATGGAGGAAACTTCATGTCAGGCCGGCCTGACGGGCTGCCCCGTCCGGCCGAGCCCGTTTGGGCACCTTCCCGGTGGAATTTTTTGATGAAATTTTTTGAGCATGTTCCTCATCAAGTCTAGTTTGTCCATACCAAATTTCAGCTCAAAACTCGATCGGGAAGGTCGTCAAATGATTTTTGCAAGTTAACTGGTCCGGAATATGTATTTTCCGGACCAGTTAACGTGCAAAAATCATTTGACGAACTTCCCGATCGAGTTTTGATCTGAAATTTGGTATGAACAAACTAGACTTGATGAGGAATATGCTCAAAAAATTTCATCAAAAAATTCCACCGGGAAGGTGCCCAAACGGGCTCGGCCGGACGGGGCAGTCCGTCAAGCCGGCCTGATGAGAAGAGCCCCTCCATGTATATGTATACATTATATAATGTTCATATACTGAATTAAACTCGTTAAGTTTTTTACGAATACAAGATTGAGCTTGACTTTGAAATGAAAAATTTGATCTCGAGTCAAACTTTTTTGACAGTACGTATAAAGCAATGGAGCAAGCAACTTACACGCTACTCATGTACTACTTGATTATTTTACGCTCCTAATTATTCATGAAATAATGCGATTTTAAGTCTGACTACTTGAGTAATCAGATTTTAATTTTAATCCGTTTTATGGTCAATCTTAGATGAGTTTATATTGGGTCTCCAATTGGGCTCGACCTCAAACTCTATTTCCGTCTGTTACTACACCGGAATTATTCCAGTCGATCGCATCCCATGAATGTCTCAAGTTCTTCCATTTCCAAGCCAGGTATTTCGTTTTTTAAAGCTCTATCTTTATTCTTCGTTGCTTCACCTTCCACACTAAATATTTCCAGGGTAAAAAATTAAGTCCTGTTAATTCTATCCAGATACGAACACAATTTTAGATATACTCTAACAAATTCAAAATCTGAAACCCCTCTCTACAGATACTATGTTCACATTTCAGACCAGTTTTTGCTTTGTAATATTTTTCATATATCTATAACAACTGCTTGATTCGGCATTTCGGCTGTATATTTTTTTGTTGTCATTTTTTCCGAACTGTATCCTTTGTTTTACATTAAACTGACTACATCTTAGTTTTAAATCAGAGGTCGGGCCGAGCCTCCACAAAAGTCTTCTTTGGCCCCTAACCCCGCCAGTGTTTTTAAATATCATCTATTTCATTAAGAAATCTGTTTTTGTCCGATTTGAACTTCTAATTTCACCTATTACACTAAGAAATATACTTTTAATCTCATTTTTAACTGCATAGGTAAAAGGATGCTTTAGAGCAAAAGATGACTAATTCAATGTTGGATGATAGAGCAGAGTTTATGGTCTTCAGGCAAATAATTTAACAGGGAATTGCGTTTGTGCTACTGTTCTAATTTTTTATTCTATTTAGGTTCATTGTTCCAATTTTGCCGTCCATACTTCTTCTACTTTCAGCTTAGAAAGATACTGGCAGACTGATGTTTTACTGTTTTTAAGCAATGTCAAATATATAACTTAAAATAAAAAATGGATATTTTTTTAATACTCAGTAACCATAGTGGTAGTTTCAGAGGAATCACTAGACCATAATAGTTTTTTCACCGTGTTGGCTTGTCATAATTTTGTTCGTGAGTTCTATTTTAGTACTGTAATATCATAAGAGTGCATTTGTGATATCTTATCTAGGTCATTAGGGCTTTTTCAATAAAAACACTTAAAGTGCTTAATTGAGAAATCAATAATATTTTTTTTTGAACCAGGACTCAATATCTTTATTAATTTAGCAAATCATTTGACACATGGCTTACAATACAATCCGGAATGAAATCATAACTACTACTATGATCTGAGATAGCAACATGCGCTCTTGCTAAAGCATGAACTGCACGATTCGCAGACCGCTTACAAAAAGAGATAACATAATTACTCTTTGTTTGAATAAGATAACGAATATCATCAAGGACCAAATCCATATATGCAACCCCGTCGCTCCTTTGGACTCCTCGAGCTACCACCTGTGCGTCGGTTTCAATCTCCACATTATCCCATCCCTCTGCCATTGCTGCTAGGACAGCCTCTCGAAGCCCCATTGCTTCCGACTCAGCTGGAGACCACTCCGCTTGACATGAGGCCCCTCCTGCTTACATTTAATAATGTAAAACCACTTTTACTATAAGTTATCCAAATTAACTGAATATGGCCACTTTAGATTAAAATAATAAGTCTACCTTTATCATTAAATAAGTGAAAGATGACTAGAAGTGAAATCAGCCTTTATCATTAAATGCAGTTAATCCTTTATAGAATAAATCTACAATTTTTTGTTCAATTAATCATTTGAACAATTAAAAAAATGTTAATTAGTTTGTTCTCAAGTAACACAATCAACCGTTTCTAACCTCTAATCCAGGTTTTGCAATAATTTTTTTTAGTAAATTTCATTCTCAATGTATCTCAATGTATGTTACTAATTACTATGCATATAATACTCTTTTTCTGTGAGAAATAATGAAAATAAATTATTAAAATGAAAAAGGATAGACAAAATCTGACTTTTGTAGCAGTGACTGACTATACCGATGTATATATATATATATATATATATATATATATATATAGTTCTATAATGAGGTCCATGTAAAGACAATTTATTTAAATGATTTGTTTAAAAATTTTACTTTTCTTAATTACATCTAAAGGTTAAAATTTTTGTAGTTGAAAGTTAATTAAATTAGTAATTCGAAAGCTAATTTAATTGTAAAAGTGAAATTTAACTTATACTACCTCTGTTCCAAAATTTTGTCAACCTTAACTTTTCAAGTCAATGATGGTAAACTTTGGCCAACAATTTTGATAAGTATAATTTTATGAAATTTGTAAATTTTATACTTTTATGAATGTATTTTTAATAAAGAAAATTTCCATATGATTTTTACGTTAAATCATTTCCTATAAAAATATCCTTGGTCAAAGTTTAGCTTGTTAGACCAAAAAATTCAAATATTGCAAAGTTGTAAGGGATGGAGGGAGTACTAATTTGTTTTATTAATTATATTAATCAAACAAAGTTAATGTTAATAAATTCAAGATTGCTATATGCATACCATAAAAAAAGTTATTTTGTGATCATGTAGCTTTTAATGTTGCAGTCCTTGGCATGGTACCAATTTTATTTCGTGGTTGTAGAACTTTTAACGTTGGTAAATTTAAAATATTATAAGATACGGAGTACAATATATCTTTGATATGTTAAGTTTATTTATTGATTGAATTGTATGTTATCATATTCATGACTTAATTTTCGTGAAATCTATAGTGAATCAATAAAAGTTCTCCGTCTTCTTTTAAAACTCTTATTTAGATAGCATTTTTCCAACTACTCACTGTTTTTGTATTCCGGGTTTCTTGACCCATACAAGATACGTCAGATACACTCTCATGTATGTACACCAAATGTAGAGTTGAGGTGAAATGGCAATTGTAACTGCTACATCCCTGCAGTCATTCCAGAGTTTGAAGCCAGGAACAATGCCTAGATTGGCTGCGCCTAGGCATTTTGTTCCATTTCTACCTTCCTCTGGATTCAAATGTACTCGCCATTGTGGATTCAATGTGAAGTTCTGCTGCTGCTGGCATCAATGGAGGAGAGGTGATTTGATGAAGTCGAGTGCCAGAACTTGTGATGTGATTCGTACAACAGCTATAGTCAGGGAAAGAGGGGAGAAAGTCGAGGATTATTTATTATGTGATGGTGAGGATACTGGCAATTCAATTGGAAAGGAGGTAATGACTAACCATGGTCTGTTTATTCCCAGATACTTTTTGACTTATATCAATTCCTCTATTTTTAGTTTTATTTCAAGTGTAAATGTTATTATTGTTGCTTTGTTTCCAGAACTTTGAACAGACTAATCATTTATGGGCTTATTTTGCTGAACAGTGAGATTTTAATGCATACTAGCACTAGCAATGCATGATGATCATTACAAATGTAACATAAGATTACCATTATTGTTTGAATGAAGGATGAGCTCTTTGTGTGTC